ACGGGTTTCTTCGTAGATGAGACCAGAGATACGCTTGACACCTCCACGACGGGCAAGACGACGGATGGCAGGCTTGGTGATACCCTGGATGTTATCACGCAACACCTTGCGATGACGCTTGGCGCCCCCCTTTCCGAGACCCTTTCCGCCCTTTCCACGTCCAGTCATGGTAGCGACTTGTCTTGCTGCGAGTAAACGAGAAGATGATCCGCCCTTTTTTTTTTTTTTTTTTTTTTTTTTTTTTTTTTTTTTTTTTTTTTTTTTTTTTTTTTTTTTTTTTTTATTTGTCAGGCATTTACTCTGACACGGGTTAAGCCCTAGGCTACCCATAAGTGATTTATTTTTAAAAAGCTACAAAAACCTTGATTTCATTAGTAAATATACAAAGATTTGATTATTGATTTACAGTGTTACAAAAACCTTGATTTTCATTAGTAAATATACAAAGATTTGATTTATTGATTTATGTTACAAAAACCTTGATTTCATTTGTAAATATACAAATTTGATTTATGATTCAAAATTTCATTTGTAAATAAACAAAGATTTGATTTATTGATTTAAAGTGTTACAAAATTTCTTCATTGTCATTTGTAAATAAACAAAGATTTGATTTATTGATTTAAAGTGTTAAACAAACCTTGACTGTCATATGTAAATAAACAAAGATTGGTTTATAAATTCATCTTGGTGGTGGAAAGATGAATAAGTCTTGAGGTGTATTCTCTAAGAGTCTTTTGGCGAACTCTTGTGCTGATGAGGTTGCAAGGGCGATGTCATCTAGTTGTGTAAGTTGGAACTCAGCTGGTCGAATGTGTTCAATTATTTGCAGCTTAGAAGGTAGTGTAATAGAGGTTCGGTGGTCTCTTGTTGACAGTAGGTGCATTCTCTGAGAACTCTCTCTGCAATCTCCCAGTTACATTTGTATCCTAAACGAAGGCGGTGAATTATGACAACTTGTTCACGAGGCATGGTGTTGGTGATGTTCACGCGTTGATAGTTAGTCACTGTCTTATACCATGATGCAGAATAAGACCCTTTATTGACGCATGCTAAATGTTGATTGATGATTTCTCGCTGAAAATTTTGTCTTATTGTCTTCTTAATTTGGCTGGAGCTGGGTGGGATGTGAAAGTTGATATATTGGAATAGTGTCGCTTCCGAGGCCGCTCTGTCTGCAATTTCATTCCCTATTATTCCAATGTGACTAGGTATCCAATTTAAAATTACTTGTGATCCTTTCTTATGAAGAACTTGGATCTTATAGAGGAGAGTGGTCATGAGCATTATATTTTCATCAGGAGACTTGTAGAGGGCTTGAATTGCTGAGAGAGAGTCCGTATAAATATTTATCTCTTTGTGATTGGTGGAGATTGCTAGGGTGAGAGCTTTGTCTATTGCAAATAGTTCAGTCTGGAGAGTTGAACAATAATCCGAAAGTCTCCAACTAGATGTTTGAAAAGTGCAGTGAATTGATGCTCCAGAGTGACCTGATATCTGATTAACAGAACCATCTGTAAAAATAGCTAATTGGTCTTTCGCTGCTTTACTGTTAACTTGGATTGCAATCTTGTTTAATATTTCCTGGCTGCAGTTAACTTTCTTCTTAGGAAGTCTCAGTATATTTGTTCGCAGGATTAATGGATTCCATGGAGGCTCTGCTTTGAAAAGTGGATGTCTTTGTGTTGGAGTCCTGTGTACTAGTTGATGGCTTATACCAGACGCCTTAATTGCTAAGACCACTTGAAAATGCCACCCTGTACTGAGAATTGTGTCAATCGGTCTGGTTAATAAGGTTTGGATCCTTTGTTTGAAGGGGAGAGGCTTGGTGGAGGAGAGACTTTTGGCCATGTAGGATGAGGTGATTTGAAGTGTTCGGAGTCTGAGGGAACAAAGATTAGTCTCAATTCTAAGGTTTTCAAGCCTTGTCCAGCGAGGAGCACCTAGAATTATCCTCATAGCTTCGTTTTGTATTTTTTCAAGTTTTATTAGGAGATCAGATGACAGGGTTAAAAGTGAGAGAGCGGAGAAATCTATTATTGATCTGATGGCTTGAGTATAGAAAGTGCGTAGAATTTTGTATCCTGCTCCTATTCTGGTGGATGTTAATTTTCTCATTGCTAGAATTCTGGATTGTATTCTTTGCTTGAGGTAGTCCAACTGATCTTTTTCATGATTTCTTTCTGAGAAAAAGTGTCCTAGGCATTTAGCTTTCTCTACCCAGTCAATGTTTTGGCCTTGGATTGTAAGTAGATGAAAGGGTCTAGATGGACCGATGTTTAATCCTGACGATTTGGACGGGTTAATTTTTAGTCCAAGGGAAGTACAGGCTTGGGTTATTAGATCTAAAGCGTGTTGAGCGTGTAGTAGTTGATGTGGACCTGTGGTTATCAATTGCAGGTCATCTGCATAGCTCAGTAAGGTGGTGTTGTTTCGGAAAGGAAGGTTGACAAGTTTTTCAATCAGTAGATTAAATAAAGTTGGACTGAGGTTGACAGTT